GGTCCAGGAGATCGAGGAGTTGGTGCAGTCCAAGATCGACGATAAAGTCTCCCAGATGGACGAGAGTACTGCTTCTACACAACTCTCGACAACCGAAGTTAACAGCCTATATCTAGAGGTAAATATTTATAAAATTAATAGTTCTGAATTTTAAAAATATATGATTGTATGCTAATTTTTCTTTCATTGTATAGGTTGTCCATCCGGATGCCAAGGGCCGTATCTATGGTGTCGGCACCTTGGCATCTCAACTGGGCGGGGGAGAAACTTCTGCTCCGGCGATTACTCACCATGTCGCGCTAACGCGTGAAGTGGAAGAGTTGAAACGCTCCCAAGAGCGGACGATTGCAGAACTGGCAGAGGCCCGGGCGAAGATCGAGGAGTTCGAGCAACATCGAGAGAAGCTACAGAAGCTCTCCGAGACCGAAGCGAGGATCGTACGCTTCGAGGAGATGATGCAGCGCCTCACACCGTTCATGCCGCCTATATTCGACCAGTATGGCTTTCCGACGACATCTCGGCAGCCAGATGATCCTCAGGACGATCCGGAGGACGCACCTGCCAATCTCGGCAATGATACACCGGTTGATCCATAGACATCTTTGTATTATAACTCTTTCTAAATTATTGTATTATACTTTTTCTTAATTATGAATCTTGTTTTGTTTTTAATTAATTCGTATTTCTAATTTATGAATTTATTTTTAAAATTAATTTTTAAAATATTTAAATTAATTATAAATTTTTTGTTTTTTTTAATTATTTTTACAAATGTTGCGACGGATATAATCTGTCGTAATCCGTCGTAGTTAATTGCAACGGACTGTAATCCGTCGTTACGTTCGGAAATCAAGAAAGCGACGCATAAACGACGGATAGATTCCGTCAGTAACGTTTGCTACGGATAAGTCTGTCGGAATGTGCGACAAACATAAACGCGACGGTCTATGACGGTTTTATATCCGTCGGTAAAATTAACGACGGAATACGACGGAATTGTCTGTCGTAATTGTGCGACGGTTAACCGACTGAAAGAAATTTGCGACAGCTCTGTACCGACGGATTTGTACCCGTCGTTATCCGTCGCAAACAATGTGTTGCGACGGATATTTGTTCGCTGTGCGACGGATGTTTCCGTCGCATATGGATTGTATTTTTGTAGTGCGGTGAATCTACTAGAGACGGAAAGAAAAAACACCGAAAACAGGAACAGACGGTCCTCCACAAACCGGAGACTCGCCGAACTAAAACTGTCCGAGAAAACAACTGAGAAAGACAAAATATAGAATGTCTTACCAACCTCGACTCACTTACATTGAATCGCTGTTCCTGAGCTCTATCACAACCGAGAAGCTCCTCCGTCGTCGTCGCCTTCTCTTTCTCCCGCTCTTCTACCTCGTGCGTTCGTCGAAGACTAAAAACATTAGGGTTAAGGAACCCTTTACCAGCGAAACGTGTGGTTTCGGAGAAACCTCTCCCTCCTTCGGAGGATTCCACTTTTCCGCCAAAAGAAATGGGCCGTCAAGTGAAGGCCCAACAACTTTTAAATTTAATAAAATAATACAATATAAGCTAACTATAGTTTCTTTAAAATTGTTAGTGGTGTTGTGTATTATATTCGTTTACGATTATTTTTTCAATTTAACATCAAAACTTTCAACCTTAATAACTTTCAAAATACATGAATAAATCATAATATATCATTAGAAAGATAATCTCAATATCTATAAATAGATAATAAGAACGAGTAATTTCAATTACATTACAGAAAGTTATGAACGAAATAACATTATTGTATCAATATAATTTTCAAAAAACGAAATTAATAAAATCAATGTGAACCCATTGCAAATGGTTTCTCCTTAAAGAAACTATTCTTTGCTCGATATGTGGTTGAATGAAATATAATCTCACAAGATAGGATGGTCGATCGATACCTCGTCAAATTCAAATATCGGCTTGATTCATACATATATGAACTTAAAAGATGTGTCTTTGTCTCTTTTTAGAAGGCTTTTGTTTTTGCTTTGGTGTGTTTTGAAAATGAAACCAAGAGTTCTATTTAAATAAAAGAAAATCATATGAAAAAATTAAAAAAAAAATAGGGACAATGAGAATTTATCACAATCCACATTCAATTGGAAGAATGTGAATGATCATGGAGAGAGTAAACATTAAAACACTTAAAATAAGTTTTTCCTATTCTTCATTTAATTAAAATAAAAAAAAAACAACAAGTCTATACATATATATATATACACACACACACACAACGTGATTAGAATCCATACTAACCTATGGTAACTTGCAAAAACTATATTGATTTGAATATTTTCCTTTATAATAGTAATAGACGATCATGCTAAGCTTTTCTTTGAGTAGAATATTGAAATCATAGTTATGATATCTTCATAATTGTTTTTATCAAATTTATCATGGAGCTTTAACGAGGAAACAAAACAATAAATTAATTAATTGCTTCCAAAACAAAAAGAAAGAAAGAGAAAACGTTAACAATGAATGCAGTAAACAAAGTTCATACTTCATATTCCTTTCTGTGTTTTGCTTCTTTCTCATCATCAAGCTGAACCAGTTTCAGGGCAACTCTCCTTTGGCAGATCATAATCTGTATCCACACACACGCATATATACATATACATATACATATACATATACATATACATATACATATACATATACATATACATATATATATATATATATGATGAGTTGTATTTTGGTGTAAGTATATGTGTATATATGTGTGTACTTGTGTGGGAATTTGAAGATCTGCCAACAGAGGGAAGCCCTAGAACTGGTGAGCTTACAGGTTCTTATAATTCATGTGTTTCTTCATCTCACGAGTATCTGTGGATGTGTATACAAACAAACACACACATATTTATACATATTTTCATTAATATATGTTGTAGAATTTTACCTAAAAGAATATATGTAGCATAATTCCATCGTGTTTTTATGCCGAAAATATTGAAATTTCAACCTTTTTTTTACATAGTTGGATTTTATCGAAACCGAATCAAAATCATAATACAATAGAAAACAATGATTTAATACAAGTTAATAATTTTGCATTCGATACTTGAGTAATTATGAAATTAATCTTCAATTTTTTATTATAAGAACAATCTACTAAGATGATATATAGTTATAATTATATAACAAAGAAATACTAACTTTAAATTAAATTCGTTTATAATTTGGACATTCAAATTTTAGATTTCCTGAAATTGTGGCTTAAACATCATGAGTTTTAATAAACAATTCTATTAGTCAAAATTTACGACTCTTATTATCCGATTTCGATATTATATAACAAAAAAGTCGTTTAGGATGACCAAAATATAATAAAAATTTAAGGTCATAAGTTATGAAATTTTCACTAGATAGAATGGCTATAATTATTGATATCATAGTTATATTAAATTTTGATAAATTGAAAAATCATATTTAAATAATTTAATCGGGATCTGCCAAATTTTAATTTCAGACAAAACACATGGTTAAAGATTTGATACGAGATAGCAACGGCTGCATGGAGACATATATACATGATGGCATATGCCTTTGGATATTCTCCATTTGTGCGCATGTGCCTTCGTTTACTTTAAATGCACTTAAAAAAATTTGCTTTAAGAAAGAGTAAAAGAAAAAAAAATATCTTGAATATTGTTTTTTATTTTTAACCATCTAAATTCATCGAAAAAAAAAGCAAAGCATGACTTTTAAATGAAGAGATCCTAAAAAAATATAATTAATTTTAGTCATATATATAATTACTGCAGCACTATCATATTTGCTAAACATTATTTTATCAGTATTATTGGCGTGTTAGAATTTGAATTAGACATTTTTTGTTATTGCTTTATACAACACAAAAAAAAATATTTTTTAATTTCGGTCGATTAATTTGTTTGAAGATATTCACGTAAGTATTTCATTAACTCCATTAGTCATAAGAAATCATATAGAGTATTAAAAACATTATATAAAAAATATGTTTAATAAAAATAAAATGAATTTATTCCAAACTTTACAATGGACGCATTGGTTAGCCAGAAAATGGTATATCCTCCGTCATATTCTAATGTCTATCATTTTGATTGTTAGGTTTTAATTTTATTCTTCATCCTATTTCATTGATTAGAGAATATGTTTCTACATGAGCCGTAAGGTCAGTCCAACTGCAACACAACATATTTCTCTGTTTGCCTCTCTCCCACTAAATTTCAATCATAAAATAAATTCATTATATATAATCAGAATTCCCAGTAAATTTATTACCCATGCTAATTAAGAAATATACTCCTTTTCGGTAGATTTTTCTTTTATACGAATTACCCTGATACAACATTTTAATAATGACGTTAACAAAAAAAAAATTTAGTAATGAGCATCATACATTTTATTTCGATTTTTTTTCACCAACTATAAAACCACACCATTCTTTTTTCACAAAACCCTAAATCCAATTATAAATTTATCTCTTCCTTGGCAAGTCTCCCCCTCAAAATCTTCACACCCATGTACCTGCAGCATCCACATACAAATCCAACCGTCCATCCATATATATATTTATATATATATATATATGATAATGGTTAGGCCAAGCATTTTTTATATTAAATTGGATCACAAAAGAAATAAAAATAGAAATTATTTTACCTTCCAAGCATCATAACCGTGGCCTGAGGATTCGTCCCGGGACAATAACTCACAGTTGACATATCAATAACCCTAAGCCGGTCAACGCCGAAAACCCTGTAATCACGGTCAACGACCCTGCCCACGTGGCATCCACCGTGGTAATGCCAGATGGTCATGACAGTGTCCCGACAAAACCGCTCCAACGTGGCAGAATCGTGATGACGTGGCAACACATTGACCGGGGCACTCGCGGTGTGGTTGAGGAGATATTCAAACGACATGTCGGTGAACTTGAACTCCGTGAAGGCCTTCGATTGGATGACTTTGGCGATGGCTTGGATGCCTAAAACGCAGCGTTTTAGGTCGAGCGGGTCACGGAAGTAATTGAAGGTGACAGTTGGGTTATCATTCGGATTTCGGGTCCGGAGCTCCAAATGGCCAGTGGATAGTGGGCCCATTACTTTCTCCAATATAAATCCTCCTTGAAATGCCTGTGATGATAATTTGCTCATCGAGTCTATTGCCTTTGCTATTGCTTTTGGTGTCCTTCGTTTCGGTGGTACGGTCGATAATTGACCAATCTACCAAATACAGTGAAATAAAATAAAATAATGGTATAAAAGCTATGGTACGATAGGTTAGGGACATTTCATTTGGTTATCTATAAACCGAATTGATCCGAATTGAATAATTCATAAACCGAATTTATATGAATCGAATAAGGTTGTAATCGAATCGAATCTAAAAACTGAATAGTTATGATATTTTAAACATTGAAAATTGAATCTAAACCTAATATAAAAAACAACCGGAAAATATAAATTTCTATTTTTAAAAAATAAACATTTTTATTATTGAAATCAAAACCGAACTCGAAGTGAACTGAATATATCATAAAATCTGCATGGAACTAAAATTGAAAGAACCCCGAATAGAACCAAAACGAGATCGAATAAAAAAGCCTGATATGTTTTGGACATAAATGAAATAAAATACCTTTGGAGAGAACATTCCGTAGTCCCTTGTGGACCCACCGGCGCCAAAATTCTCGCCGCCGGCCGCCTCGATATATGCCCCGGAACCTGTGATCCCGACAACTTCGATGAGGGAAACGTCGATCGGAACAGGAGATGGAACGAAAACGGCGTTCATGGGGTTGTCGGACATTCCCTGACCAACTGCCGGCATATCGGAAACCACCATGATGTTATGGGCCTTGAGATGGGCTGATGGGCCCAATCCACTCAGCATCAGCAGCTGTGGGCTCCCTAGGGTTCCCGCCGAAACCACTATCTCATTTTGTGGGCCGGCTTTTAAGTAGGCCCAATGGGCTTTTCCGGTTCGGTCTCTGAATATCACTCCTTGAGCGACCGGTTTGGTTTTGCCTAGGATCACAACAATTAGGTTATATTGGAAACTAGATTAAATAGTTAACAATTACATATGATCTTATATATTTTTTAAATAGAATAAAAATATGGTTTATTATTTTAAAATTTACAAGATGGTTTTTTTAAATTAGTAGTTGATTTATTTTTATAACAAATTTAAAGTAGAATTTTTTTTGTGCAAGATAAATAGTTGATGGTTTTTTTAATTTGTCCCTAATAAAAATATACGATTATGAGGTTAAATGTTTAAAACTTCAGTAATGTAATATGATAAATTGCAACAAAGCTGTGGAATATATATGGTGATTTTTACCTCTGGTTTGGAACAAGATACGGTGGACGGTGGCGTGTAAAAAGACAGAAATACCCTCGGGATCGGCGTATTCTAGAAGGTCAGCGGCGGTGTGGCGGCGGCCGGACCGGTCGAAGATGGTGCCGCCGAATTTGGTACCGTTGATGTGATCAAAGGTGAAGCCGTTGTTAGGCAAAACGCCGGTCTCCAACAAACCGTCCCTGACGGCGGTTTGCCACCGCCCCATCGGCGGGTCGCA